TCGACATGAAGGCAGTTAGCAATAACAAACTATACTTCAACACTTATCGAAAAAGGCACCATTCATTCCCTGGTGAAAGGCAAGCGCATAATGCGTCCTGGAAGCACCGACTCCCCTCTACTTTCTCATCCATCCAGCCTTTAACATGAACAGAAACAGTTATGCCCGCTGGGATTTTGAAAGTTTTTGAGCATCGTTTTCCTTTGCCTCATAAAATCATAGAATCGTAGAGTTGGAAGAGATCACAGTAAATACTTCCATTGAGAGCTGGACCGGTCATCCAATCCAATCCCTTCTGCCTTGCGGGAAGACACAGCCAAAGCGCTCCCGAACGATGGCCATCCAGCCTCTGCTTGAAAACCTCCAAAGAAGGAGACTCCACCACACTTCCAGGCAGCGTCTTCCAGCTTCCTCCTGAGATTTAGGTGGAATATCTTTTCCTGTAGTTTGAAGCCATTGCTCCTTGTCCTAATCTCTGGAGCTATGGAAAACAAGCCTCTTCCCTCTTCAATATGCCATCCCTTCAGATATTTATACATCATGTCTCCTCTTAACCTTCTTATCATGAGGTTTTCTTGTCAAGTTTCTCCAGAGGAGGTTGGTCGCTGCCTTCCCCTGAGGCTGAGAGCATGTGACTTGCCCAAAGTCACCCAGTGGGTTTCATGGCCGAGCTGGGAATCTAATGCATAAGCTAAAAAGAAGGAAGGCGTCCTGGGATGCTTTTCCCAAAGCTTATGCTGAAATACATTGGTAGGCTTAAAAGATGGCACAGGACTCTGGATCTCTTTTTATATTGAACCAAACAAGTGCAGATTTCTGTCTGAAAATGGCCGTATTGTGCAAGCTGTCCAAATAGTGCAAATTGAGTCCACTTTAATTGCCCTGACTCAGTGCTAGGGAATCATGGGAACTGTAGTTTATTGTGGCACCCGAGCTCTCTGACAGAGAAGGCTCAATGTCTCAGAAAAAAAAAATGCAATTCCCATGATTCCCTAGCACTGAGCCAGGACAGTTAAAGTGGACTCTGCACTATTTCTGGCAGTCTGCAAAGGCCCTTAGATGGTCTAATAATCTTCCATCTCTGTGTTGCCTTCAAGTTGCCTGTCGCCTTATGGTAACCTGATGAATCCCATAGGGTTTTCTTAGGCAAGGAATCCTCAGAGGTGGTTTTGCCAGTTCCTCCCTCTGGAATATCATCTAGCCCAGCACTTGGTATGAATTGGCAGTCTCCCATCCAAATACTAACCTAGGCTGACCCTGCTTAGTGTCCAAGAGCAGATGGGATCTGGTGCCTTTTTAGGGTATTTAGGCTGTCCAGAATAATCACACCCGCTGCTAAAAAGTCTTGTTGGTCCTTTGGTCCTTTTGTGGCTCCTGTTTGGGAGTCCAAACTCAGCAAAGGTGCAGCAGGCAGGCAAGGAGACTTGGAAGGAGGCTTGGTGTGCAATTTCTCAACCAGGGCCCTGGTGGAGTTTGGTCGGAGTATCCCAAGCAAGAGACCGACAACCTGTCAAGCCATGATGAAACTCCCTGCAAGAGCAAAAAGGGCCTCCAACCACCCACTGACTCAGCCGGAGGAAAGTAACTTGAATCTTGGCCAGTTTTCAAGGGCGGAAGATAAGAAACAGGAAGGAGGTGAAACAGGCAGCGTGGAACTTTGCCTTCTCTCCAACCTCACTGGCAGCTAATGTCACTTGGGCCGGGGGGGGGGGGGGGAAGAGAATGAATCTGCTCCTGGTTTTAGTCTGAACTTGAACAACCCAAGGCTATTAACCCTATTCCCCGGATAGGCTCCAGCACCTTGAGTAGCTTATTTCAAGTTCAAACCAGAACCCAGAGTAGGGTTGCCATAATTATCTTCCACAAAACCTGGACAAAATGTAGGATAAATGTAGGACGTTCAAGAAAA